AACTGTGCATGTAGAAATTTTTGAAATGGTGTATCTTTGGCTATGTGTATTTTCACCAAAAAAAAAAAGGTCGAGAAGGGAGAGGGTTGACATGTTGTGGGGTTGTTAAACAATGTCATAAAACAGTATGTGTCCTACTGTTTCATGAGAAACTATTTGTTCTGTAAGCCTTCACCTGAAGTACAATAAAAATATGTGTATATATGTATATATATGATGTTAGGATTTGGGGAGACAGTTTGCAGCCCAGCTGTGTGGGCCCAAGTTTTCTTTTATAGTAATTAGCAGTCAGGAGAGGACCATGACAAGTATTTGCGCCCTAAAATTAAAAGCTAGTATTTGTTGAGCATTTGCTATGTGCCAGTTCCTGTGCTAACGATTTTATGTGGCGTCTGTCTTTCTAAAGATTAGAAAAACAACGAAGTATGCCGAAGAACTTTCTATTTGATCATATTTGCTGAATGTAGATTATTAGTTTCGTTCTTCCTTTGATTATTGTTGTGGTTGTCATTCAGCATCCTGGTTCACAGGGCAGGAAATACTTACAGCTTGACAGATGTCTGTGGCTAATTGTCTTGCCCTGGGGTTCTTGTCTGACTGCCTCAGACCTAAATAGACAGAGCTGAGGGATCCCTCTGGGTTTGGAATTGCAGCACTTTCCTTGAAATTCTGCCTGGACCCAATATCTGCAGGCCCCTTGCCCAGGTCCCACTCTTCCACCACCCCCCTCCAGTTAGATGACAAAATGCAGCCCTGCAGGGAGAGGAGAGAAGAGAACTTAACTCACACAACTGTCCTCGTACAGGAGGCTCTCAGGACAGGTTTTAGGAGTGGACTTGTCTCATTTTGTCTACTGTGTGGTCACAGTGTTAGTTCAGTGCTCTAGCTTAGATTGCAAACTCTTCCAGGTCAGAAACCAATTGTGTTTGATAAATGCCTCTGCTCCACTACTCCTGGGTCATTGCTAGCATCGGTGGGGCAGGACCCTGCCAGTTCCCCTTGGATAGAACCAAGATGAAAGGCAAAAGCAGTGTGGAGACCCTGAATCCGGGAGAGCTGGTACCACCTGGGCATGCTGGGCTTGCCTACCCAGCCTCTAAGGCAGAGCGCCTGCATTGACCGTGGGAGAATGCAGAGTAAAGGCTCTGTCTTTCTGCAAGTGTAGAATTTGAGCTGTTATTTGAAACTCCCTGTTCCTTATTAAATGGCTGGCCTAATTTTTCCTCTTTATCTCTATAGTGGTGGAGATCCAAGAAGGGAAGACAACTATAGTAAGTATCATGAATTTGGCCATTTCTAACCTCTTTAATGCTTGGAGCTGCCTGGCTGCTCCTCTGAGGAAAGGAGGGAGGCCCAAACTAGACTCCTGGCCCAGAATCAGCTCCTTCTGTGACCATAAATCCCACAAATCGATTCTTTTTTAAGCTGTGTGCTATAGTGTGGTTAATCAGGAACAGTCACTGTGCCTGAGCCGAGGCATTCGTTACTTGGTTAAAGTGGGCTTTTGTATGACAGGTCTCAGAGACCTTTGCTGATATGTTCTTTGGCAGGTGATAAATCAGTTTCCCAGAGGAGAAACTAAGGCAATGGCAGGCTAGAGAGCCAGAGGAAGTTGATCCCGGGCCAGGAGCCTGGACCTCAGTTCCTTTCCTTTCTGCCTAGAATGACTAAGGTACTCCTTAAGTGATGCAGTTAAAAGGTAAAGCACTCTGGCGCCCTGGCTTGTCTGTTGGTAGGAAAGCTGGAACAATTCTTCATCCACCCACTGCCCCCTTTCCCTCATTGGGCCCATCTCACCTCCCTCCCTTGGGGAGTCATGGGGCCTAGATTATCCTATAATCCCTAAAAGACAGCGTCATTTTCACGTGGTCCTCCATGTCTCCAAGGAATCCTCAGCCACTCCACAGAGCTCCCAGAAGCCTCTCTAACTTCCATCTCAACCAGGGATTTAATCCTTCTGGCAGCCGGCCAAGCTCAGTCCTCCCTAAGGCAGTCTTATCCCCAGGATGAGCCTGTAGGGTTCCCTCTTTGAGTCTTCCCCAGAATACTCTGTCAACCTTTTCACTGCTTAACCTCAAAGGAGTTCTGTCATCTTAGGGGCCCTATTCTATTAGGACACCTTTTTTGGCTCCCTTATTTAAAGCCAAAACAAGCATTCACCCCTAAACTCCATGCTGGAGAAGAGAAACACATCTGCTTGTTGAGTGTAAAGAGTTTTCCATGTGGGACATGAATCTGCTATTTGTGGAAAGAACCTGGGGGCACTGTGGCACTGGGAAAGCCCAGGGGGAAGGGAAGAGCCCCTCCCTGCCTGGAGAGGCGCTGCTACGGGTGACCTCGGGTATTGCTCTCTGGGGTCTCATGATGCCTACCTCACTAGGAATTTGTAGGAATTTAATGAGATGATACCTATGACCTGTTATTAGCACAGAACCAGATACATAATGGGGAGTCAGGAAATGCTAATTCTCTCCCTCCGCCCCACACCAGCCCACCTAAACCCTCCTCCCAGTCCTGCCATGCACCTGTACATTTTCTGTAACCCACGACATTTCCATTTAGGGTATAGTTATGGTTGCCTTGGCAGAAAGGTAGGTGGCAGTGCCCTGACAGCCAGCTATTTATTTTCAGCCCCCTCTCCTTTTCTCCAGTTCTCCCCCAGTAGGCAGTATTGCTTTCCTCCCAAAGCCTCTCAAACCTGTCCCAGCCACACTCTCATAACCCATGGCCTCAGTCAGCAAGGCTTGCTAAGCTCCCCCTCTTGCAGTTGGAGCAGACCCCCGGATCATTGGTTTATTGAGCTTAGTACTTCCAAGGCTGTGGCACAGCAGACAGAGACAACCAGCCAGGCATCAACAGGGAGGTCATTTCACATGTGGCCTCGGCCGGGTTTCAAGAATGGCATCCAGAATAATAAAAGGAAGGAGCAAGACAGAAGAATGTATCTTCCCAGTTGCATTTTAAAAAAGGGGAGGGGAAGAGGAGTACACACGGATGTCTGCTTGTGCACAGACACGGGCTAAAGTTTCTCAGCCTCAGCGTTATTGGCACGTTGAGTTAGAACATTACTTGTTGTGGGACTCTCTTGGTCATTATAGGGTATTTAGCAGCATCCCCAGCTTCTACCCACTAGATATCATTAGCAAACCCCACTCCTCCATCGTGACAACAAAAATGTCTGCAGGCATTTTCAAATACATGTCCCCTGAGGGGCTCAATCGCCCCGACTGAGAACCACTGGCATAGATGGCTCTTTTTCAGGTACCTGAAATGAACTGCAGTTTCCTCTGAGGAGTTCATGTGGGCTGAGAGGGAGACTTTCTTTCGACTCTCTGCTCTTTTGCGGTTTGAAACTCTTTACCATGGATGTGTATTCTTTTTCCCATAGGGGGTCAGGGGAAGAAATCAAAATGTTCAGCAGGTATTTTTGTTTTGTATTTTTAAGGATGGAAAGGTAGCATTCAACAGATGCAGCAAACCCTTCCTTCTTGCTACCAGTATTAAGTTCAGATGGTTTCCAGTAACCCTGCCAGCCACCAAACCACATCCCCATGGCTACCACCATGGTTCAGGCTGGAGAGACCTGTTACGTGCTCCCACAAGACCCCCGGAGATAAACTTTCATCAGCATTTCCACCATTTGGGGGGCTTGCTCAAAGATACCTGGCTCCACACTGGCCCTCTCCCTCACCGGCTCTCTTTCTCTGCCTCCTAGATCGAAGGCCACATCACAGGAACCCCCAAGGAGAGTCCACATCCCCCTAACCCCTCTGGCCAGTGCCCCATCTGTCGTTGGAACCTGAAGCACAAGTACAATTACGAGGTGAGTCTGCAGGCCAAGACCTCAGCACTTTAGCCACTGCTGCAGGTTGGAGAGCCACCAAACAGAAGCATTTCATCCAGTGCTTCTCATCCTCACTGCCCATTATAATCACAAGGGAGCTTTAAAAAAAATGCTTAAGGCACACCCCAAGAGATTCATTCACTTGGTCTGGGCTGGAGCCTGAGCTCATTGTTTTTTAAAGCTCCTCAGGTCATTCTAACGTGCAGCCGGAATTGAGAGCCACTGATTTAGTTCATGGTTTTGGAATCCCAGGGTGGCAAAAATGATTAAGCATTCAACTACTAACTGGCAGGTTTTCAGTTCAGACCCACCCAGAGGCACTTGGAAGAAAGACCTGGCAGTCTACTTCTGAAAAATCAGCCATTGAAAACCCTACAGAGCGTAGTTCTACTCTGACATGCATGGGGTCGCCATAAGTTGGAATCGACTTAACAGCTGGGAGTTTTTGTTTATTTTTGGTTGCAGTTCAGACCACCATGGCCCTGTACCCCAGTCCTTTTGGGGGCTGTGTTCTCTAAGGGGTGGAATCATGATCTGGAGTTGGCTTTCCTCCTTTTACAATGAGCGGATGTATTTAAAGAGGCTCTTTGTCCTCATTGTGATCTGGGAACATACTACTGTCTCTTTCCATACTGAAGCTACAAAGACTCCTGATTGTTCTAGCTTTCCTAGAGTTGCTGTTTCCCAGAAAAGAAGATAATAGCAAATAACAATGATAGGTAACATGTCTTGAGTGCTTACTATGTGTCCGGCACTGTTGTAGGTGCTTACATGTCTTAATTTACTTCATTTGCACAATAACCCTATGAAGTAGGTGTTTTTTTCACCCTCGTTTTACAGATGAGGACATTTGAGGCATGGAGAGGTTGATTAATTTGCCTCGCTCACCCAGCTAGTTAATTTCAGACCTGGGATACAAACTCCATGAATACAGAGCTGGGCAGAGCCCAGGTTGCTGACTCCCTCTCTGTACATCTCTGGAAACAGGAGGGCCTAGGGGAAAGGACACAGCATGGAGAAATCCTACTTGTTCTTTTGAGCTCTCATTGGTGACATTAAGCACCCTATTTTTGGAGTGCAGATGATTCAGGCTCTGGGCCAATTTGACCTGCAAGTTGTCCCTGTGCCCCTCTGTGGAATGGGATGGCTTAAAGGCCAGTGATCCTGGCTGGGCAGTAAGAGCAGGAGAGACCACGTGCCTGTGGGATCTGAACAGAATGACCCAGCTAATCTCCTAGACTGGGGAGCCTTGGCTTCACACCACTGCAGCCAGGGGGGCTCTTCTGCTGTGTCCCAGGGCCCTTCTACTGATGGCCACCTGGAGTAATAGACAGCTTGGAGGCAAACGGACAGTGTTCACAGGCTTCTGTGACATGGAAGTGAGTGGGGTTGTGGGCATACTTGGAATCCTGGTGGCCAGTGGGGATGTGAACCCCCATCTGCCTGGCCGCCATGGGGTACTCTTCCTACCAGCTGTTTCCAGGAAACATACTTGGCTCTGTTTATCCAGCAGAAGAAGTCTGATCGTTTTTCCTTTTACACCTTTCCACTCAGAGCACCATTAGCCTGAGCTGCATAAAACCGTCAGCTTGCTTGGCAGCCTAAGGTGGGGGTCTGGGGCTGTGAGCACAGTTTATTAGCCCTGGATTAATCCAATCCAGTTCTTTTCATCAGATTCTGAAGATTACAGGGGTGGGAATGAGGGGCCTAGGTCCCTCAGGAGCTGTCCAGTGATTAAAACAAATCTGCGGTTATCCAGCGAGGCTCCTCAAGGGCAGCAAGTCAGTTTCGTGGAACATGACTGCTGAGACTGGCCTGCCAGGCCGCTGGGGGTGGTGTGGAGGATGGCGAGTTTTGTTTAACCCACTCAGTATTTGTAAGGCAATTACCCAGCCAGCCTTTGAGAGTTGTGGGGAAGGTGGTCTCTTCTCTTGATTCTGGTTCTGTTCATCCTTGTTGCCTTGACCCGTCCAAAGCAGCCTGGCAGGAATGGATATTCCAACAGAAGCCCAGGCACCCTACACATCTGGCCTTAGAAGATGTGGGGTGAAACCTACCATGTTTCTTCACAGCCTGGTCCCTTCCTTCTCAACGTGTAGGCCTGCCTAGCACTTTGGAGGAATGAGAGGAAGGTGGACAGTCTGTCTGCCTGTACTCTGGCCTGTGACGTGTAGGCTTTGGGGGTTGAAATGGTGCAGGTTTTCCCTCTTTTGGGGAAATTTGTTTTAGTACCTCCTACCCCACCCAAGGAGTAACTCAACAGACCTTTCCTCACCAGGAAAGATACTGCAGGTACATAAAAGATTGTTAGCACTTCTTGAAAAATTTCTGTTCTCTAACGTAGACTGTCAATAGATTATCTCATGACGAGGTACAGAAAATCTTAGTACAGGTGGCATTTAACTCTTGTTAGGGTGAAGGTAGCAGACCAGTGTGCACAGCTCTGTGTGGAGGGCGTGGTCTTAGGTAGAGGTGGCCCAAGAGAGATGCAAGAGTCTTCAAGGACTGGGATACAGGCGTCTTCCCTGACTCCCCAGCTTCAAAAGCCAGCCCAGCTGACCCTGGGTTCTGTTGTCCTCCTGTTGGTTTTCCATTTCCACTAGGATGTCCTGTTGCTGAGTCAGTTCATCCGGCCTCATGGAGGTATGCTGCCCCGAAGGATCACGGGCCTGTGCCGGGAAGAGCACCACAAGATAGAAGAGTGTGTGAAGATGGCCCACCGGGCAGGTAGGAATCCCCTTCTGGAAGAGAAGTGGACACCCAGAGTCTTGAAATCAGACTCACCCCCACCCCAGCCTCCTCACCCCTCAGCTTTCCCTCTGGCCCCCTAAGAGCTGCCGAGGGAGCTGCACAGACCATCCACTTACACGCTCTTCCTCCACACAGGTCTGTTCCCAAATCACAGGCCTCGGCTTCCTGAAGGGTTTGTTCCCAAGAACAAACCCCAGCTCAACCGGTAAGCACGCCTGGGTGTCCACAGCCTGAGCCTTCTGTAGGCCTGCAGCTCTCACTGCACTCTGCTGGGGAAGCCATGCGGGTGCTCGTCCCGCCACTCAGGACAGCTGGGTGTCCCTGGCCGTTCTTTTCACTCCCTTCCAGCTGAGCAGCCCACCCCCACCCCCCCAGTCCAACACTGCTGCGGTTCATACTGCACGCACTTCTCTCACCCTCCCCTGCTGGCCTCAGCCTCTTTCTTCTTCCCTCACCAGTAAGGCACTTAGCACAGGGGCAGAGAATAAGAAGGCCTGCTCTGCTGATTGGATGTTAGAAAGTGCTAATCCACTGTTTATGACATCACATTGGGTTGCTATGGGGATGTCAGATCGCTTCTACAAACTTGCAGTATCCTGGCTCTCTCTAGCACTGGGGTTACTAAAGGATAGGATGAGGTCTTAGAAATGGGAGGGCTCTGAGACAGGGCTGCTGTATACAGCTGTGCAAGTCATGCCCTGCACAACTTCAGGGCAGCATTCATGATGGTGAATGGCGTTCTCTGGAGTTATACAGTTAACAACCTGTACAGCTGTACATGGTGGCCCAGGAGGTCCTGAGGTTTTACAGATGAGGAGAAGGCCCCCAGACCCTGGAAGGTCACAGGTGGCCCCTCTAGTGTAAAAGCAGATCCCTGTCTAACACTTAAGCAGCCGTGCTATTTGGAGTTCCCCTTCCTCCCCATCTCTGACATCACCACGTTCACACATTCCTGAGTCTATAATACCCCTGAGGTGTTGAGTGTAGATCCAGATCTGTAAAGTTGATTTGGGGGTTTCTTTTTGTTCTCCTCTACCAGTGGTCCCTCCTTCCTTCAGTTTGTCTAGCTGCCACTGGCCATTCCCAGTCTGGAGTGAAGAAGATGGAACTGCTCTCTGTAGGGACCAAAGACGGTTGAAGCAAAGCAAGACACCCCACCCCCCAGCATGCATCCTAGGTCCCTGACAAAATCCAAGCGTGGAGGGGTGAGGCCAGGCGGGTACCAGCCCCACATTGCTGGGCTGGGGGTGCAGGAGGCAGGAATGCAGGGCTGCTTCCCGGTACCTTGCCTCCCCTGCCCCTGGAGGCTGGGCCTTCACCAACGCCTCACTAGCACCCTGGCCCCGTGCCCACCTCCACCTGCACCTCCCACATTGCCAGCTGGGCCATCTGCCAGCAGCCCCAGGAAAGCAGGACATATTAACCTCTTCCTGTCTCTCCCAAATGTGATGTGGACCATTTAGGGTTGAGCCCCCCCACCCCCCCATCTTTTTAAGAGACAGCAGGCAGGCGTGAGGACACAATCCATCCCACCCTCAGGCCTTTGAAGCGAGGCCAGGCGCCCTCCCATACATCTGGTGTCCTTTAACGTGACACAGGATTGATGATGTGTGGGGGCTCTTGGGTTGCAAAAGGCCACCCTGAGGGGGAAGAGGGAGTCCAGGCTATGAGGGAGATTGGTTCCTTTGTAAGGGACTTTGTGATTCTACCCAGAGGTCCTTGAGCCACCATACACTCGCCCAGGCTCAGCTGGGGCCCGTTGGAGCCGGGCTGTGTTCTTCTGCTGCGTCCCTCTCCTCCCTGCCCCCTGCAGGAGAGGTAGGAAGGAGCCTTGGTACTTCCTAGAGTTAGGGTATTCCAGAGAGCTGACTGTGGCACAGGCACAGGGCCAGGGCTAGCTGGAGCCTAGCTTCCCTCAAGTCTCTCCAGGGCATGGGGCAAAGAACAGTCCTGGGGCAGTAGCTCTGGAGAACCTGGCCAGCCTCAGGACCTGCTTGAGTCCCTGAATCCCAGTGAGTACCCCCTTCTGGGAGCCTGCTTCCACACCCTGTCTTCACCCATCCCCACTGAAGACTGGGAGATGCCAACAAAGGGGCCTGCCAGGTGTTTTCCTCCCTGTGCCTTGACTGGCTTGCTGTCCCTGGCTGGGCATGAGGTCTGCAGTAGGCATGGGGAGGGCCTCCCTTCCCACCCAGCCACACTTGGCGTGCAGGCCAGCACCTCCTGCAGCTTCTTCGCAGAGCTGAGCCCTCTGCGCAGGGCTAAGGGGCAGAGACAGGAGTCCGGGAAGCTCAATTTAAATGTATAAATCAACGATCATCTTTTCACTTTTTTTATCTAAAAATTTTTAGCCAAGGTTATTAATTTTTTAAGTGAAAAAAAAACACTCTCATTTGAGGGTCTCTAAAAGATGAGTCGGAATCAACTCAACAGCAACAGGTTTGGGTTTTGGGTTTAAGGGAACTGGGTTGAGCCCCAAGCTAGCGTGGCTGCCGGGGAGGATGACTGGCCTTTGCTATGGCTGAGCTTGCAGGACAAAGGATGGGCCTTTGGACAGGATCCAGGTTCCATTCTGGACAGAGTAAACCCCAGTCCCAGCCGGCATGAGCCACTTTTCCAGGAACTATCAGCCCTGACCATCCCCAAAGGAGGCCAAAGGACCATGGGCGGCAGCCATCTTCCCTGCCCCCCTTCTACTTACAGGAACCTTCCTGGGCTGGGTCTGCACTCACGAGCCCTGTCACAGGCTGGGTGAGGGTCAGAGGTCCTACAGAGGTTACAGCTGCTCAGGGGAGCACCCCAAAGCCTAGGGTGGTAGAGTGAGCCAAGTAGGGGAAAGTGGAGGGTTCCTCCAGGCCCTGACATCAGCTTGTCCCCCCATGGCTGAGGCCAGAAAGCAGTGATCTGCTCTGGAGCAGCTCTTCGCTGCCGCCTCCCCCAGCAAACACACAAACATTGACAACTCATAAAGATCAAGGAAGCACGTGGCCCTGGGCAGCCTGCCGGCCCTGACCCGGCCACACACGCTCGCGGCAGCAAGAACCCAGCCCATCTGTTTACAGCACACTCAGCGGTTACTCCCAGGAAAAGCCCCTACCCTTCCAGAAAGGAAAACTGGTGAAAAGGTTTGCCTGCCTACTGTGGCTTTGGCCCGAGGAGGCAGTGCCCCACTCTCCCAGCTCCAGCACAGGTCCCTGGCCCTCACAGCCACCTCCTTATCCTCCTTCTACAGGTACCTGACCCGCTGGTCTCGCAGGTCTGTCAAGCCCATCTACAATAAAGGCCACCGCTGGAACAAAGTGCGCATGGCTGTGGGGTCCCCCCTGCTGAAGGACAATGTCTCCTACTCAAGAACACCTTTGGTGTTGTATCATTGACTGAGAATGGGACTTCCTGAGGACCTGGCCAGGGCCCTGCAGCACCTCCACTGTGGAGTAGGGCAGCTCTCAGCCTCAATCGTACTTCCTGCCCACCCCACCAGGGCGGCCAGGCCCCCCCCCAGCATGACCGAGTGACACAAGGGGCATTTGTGCCCTCCACCTGCCCAGCAGCTGTGCTGGGAGATAGGACTGGGCAGGCCTTGGGCCCCTTGGCAACTGCTGTGGTGTCATGACTGGCTTGGGCTGAGCTCAGGGCCGGGGGACAGTTTTGCCTGAGGAGTGTCATAAACCAGGCTCATGTGTTTACCCACTGGGTGTGTGCTCACTTCTTGGGGGGTGTGGGGCTTTGGGCCCATTTCTGGCCGGTTGCTGAGCATAGAGTCACTCATCTCTTGTGAAGGGCCGTGTGAATGTAACTGGAGGGCCTTCATGGCCTCACAGGTTCCCATCTTTATTGACAGCTGATTGCTCTTTAGCCAGGGGACTGCAAGGAGGAGGGGAGTTGGGGTGCCTAGCCCATATACAGCTCTCATCTGCGTTCAAGAAGCTGCCCTCAAAGGGCCTCTGGTTGTCAGCTGCAGCCATTTCCACTGATCGTCACCATCTAGTACCCCAGCTGCCTGCTTCAGAGTTGCAGCTGGGCCTATCCTCAAAGCCTGGACACCAGACTGAGGTGGGGGGAGGGGGTAGAACAGAACGAACAGACCAAGTTCACAGAAGTTTATGAAAATAACGTTTAGAGTCTTTACATTAAAAATCCCCAGGCCGACCCCCATCCTACAGCATGAAGGGCAAGTCTATGTTCTTCTCCCCAGTGCCCACGTAGATGTAGCCGTAGTTCTTGGTGCAGGGGGCGTGGTAGAAGGTGAGGCCTGGCCAGAGCAGGCTACGAAGCACAACCAAGGCGTTGCTCCGCTCCATCTGGATGCTCCAGGACCCTGGGGAGGAGGCAGCAAGAGGTGAGGCCCAGCTCTTCAGGCAGCCAGGTCCGGGTGCAGAGGTTTCACCAGGAAAAGGGGAGACAATTTAATTATCCAGGCACTTTCCTCCTCCTGATTGCCTTTTAGCCATTTCACTGCTCATTAAACTGCCTTTCAGAGGGAGGGCAAAGGAAATGAAAAGAGGTGAAACGCAAACCAGTCAGTTTTGTTCCTGTCAGCAAGTTAGTTAAAGGTTGAGTGGGGGAGGCGGCTGACTCCATGGCCAAGTGGCGTTGGGGCTGGACGACAAGAGACTCCAGACTCCCTCTCTGTACTGAGGCAGTCACTGTAGCCCTGGGCTGGTGTGCCCCCAGGATGCCATTTTGGTCTCTCTCCCCCAGACCCAGAAGCCTTTTGCCCTGAGATGGGTTAGACCAGACTAGGGGTTCAGCCACTTCAGGCCTCCCAGCTCAGTGGCCCTTGCAGGCAGCTCATAGACTGGGAGCCATCCTTGGCAGGAGGGGACTTGGGCTGCAGCTAATGAGCCTTTGTCTTTATTGGGTTCTGCCCTGGTTTTTGTTCCTCTAGATAGAAGAAACCCAGCCTGGGGCTGTGTCGTGCAGCCATGAGGACTTGGCGGGAAGGGTCTGACTGAGCTCCAGAACTAAGGGAGGGAGCCGCTGTGTGGGAGGAAGGAGCCTGGGAAAATCTCCTCTGGATGCGGATCTGGAGCTTCTATTCCCCTGCGCACTGAGGCCTCTCCCAGCCCAGCACTGAGGCCTCTCCCAGCCCAGCACTGAGGCCTCTCCCAGCCCAGCCGAAGCTCTTACTTGCTCCCTGCCAGAAAGGCAAAGGCTTTGAAGGTTTTGGTGTTGGACCGGCCAGCGATGCACTGAGGGCTGCTCAAGGCCTTCATCGGCTGCCAGTTCAGCCTGGCTGCTTTGCTTTCGCTGCCCCAGCTTCCCACAGGCCTCCTCCAACCACGGCCCACCCTGGTCACTCCACACCCCACAGCCTCACACTTGGTCCCCACCCACTGGGGGCCACCCTGCATTCAAGAGACCTGACTGCCAAGAACCCCTGACCCTGCCAGCAGCTCAGCCCTGCTAAGGGCGAGAGGCATCCTGGAGCCCACCTTAGCACTGCAGTTGCCAGCACAAGTGCCACCACCTGTGCATGGATGATGATGTGGAAGCCACATGCAGAGTTGATTCAGCTCCCCAGGCCCTCAGTGCCAGCCAGTCAGCCCAGAAGAAAGGAGTGGGGAGGCGTTCCCCTGGATCTCACAACCTTTCTATTGGGCTCCAAAAGTCCTCCTTGACCTCGCAGACCTGCCCTCATCAGAGTTCTAGAGGCCCTAGCGTGTTGCCCTCCTGGTCACACATCAGTAGATACTGCCTGGGGGCAGCAGTGGTGTGCCCAATCAGTGTTCCCAGGCACTGCACACAGCCTTTGGCCAGAAGCACAGGCCCTGGGAAGGTACTACTCCCCAGTGCTCCCTTAGTCACACCAGGGCCCAGAGCATCATCTGAGGCCAGCTTCCTATAGAGACAGTCGCTCCCTGCCCATAGAGCCCACATTTGCACAGCCCTTTGAATTGGGAAGGTCAAGCTCTGCTTTGCTCCTCTGCCTAGCCAGGGAGGATTGCCTGGGCCAAATGCTACCCTGGAGTTCCCCGACCTGGACTATCAGGTCATAGGTCACCAACACCTTGGCACACCCTTGACAAGGGCTGGGTCTCAGCCTCCGCCACAACAACCCATCTACCTTAGGGCTGACCACCTCTTGCCTCCAGTAGATGAGGGGGCATCTCAGACAAAGCAGCCCAGGTTCATCGGCAGAGGGCAAGGAGGAACTGGCAAGGATGCTAGAGAAATACAGCGCCCCCACCAGGGGGGAGGACAATGCCAAGCAGGCCGAGGGTGCTGGCAGAGCACGTCAGCAACATGTGAGGGGCTGCCAGCCAGCACTGCCTCCCTCCCTCCCTCGCATTCCAGTCACACTCCCATCCTCCTCTCCATGTCCCTGGCTCAGCTGGTCGCCCAGGAAACACACAGACTCTCAACGTGCCTGGAGTCACGTACGTCTACCTGGATAGCCGGGCACTTGCTCTCACCTTCACCCACTTTTCTTACTGCAACTGCTGAAAAGGCTGGGCCCAGCCAGCTGCTGCCTCCTTCTCTAGGACTCTGGGAGAAAAAGGTCTCCTTCTGTAGCCCTGGCAGTCCCCAGGGCCCACTCTCCCAAGTCTCCCCAAACTTCCTCTCCTGCACCCTGGCAGCCACTCCTCCAGAAGGTCTGATTTTGGAGGATGTCGTGGGGAGACAGGCCGGTAAGTCAGGAGTGGGATCTGTTGCAGTTGGCAGGAAGTCCTCCTGGTTTTCCTGAGCCACAAGGGTCATCTACCTACCTTGCTAGGGTGGGACCTCAGGCAAGGGTGCTGCTTCTCATAATTACATTGTCCCGCCCTCAAGGAAGAAAGGCAGCAAAGCTCAGATTAAATTTGAGGGAGGGAGTGGGCCAGGCTGGGGATCAGGGCTGTCCAGGGGCAGCAGATAGATGGCTTAAACCCTCTCCTCAAACCAACACCCACGTGATGTTACCAAAAAAAAAAAAAAAGGCCATGGGTCCCTCCCCTCAGAGCAGCTACACCCCCTCCCTGCCACAAAGTAGAGAGAGTCAAACCCTCTAGAGGCCTGGGGACAGACTCCCGTTTCATCAATAGAGGGGCAGGACAAGACCCCTTGGTCCAGAAGGCCAAGCACCCATTAGCCGGACTTCAAAGGGACTGGGGTGGGAGAAGCTATCTGCACCCCCTCCCCCAAAAAGAAGGCTGATCCTCCCTTCCAATGCCCCTTTCTCCTACCCCACCCTCCCAACTCCCACTACTTTAAAGGCCACTTTTCAGGCAGCCAGCCCCCTTGCTGCCCTCTGCTGCTCAAACTGGACATTGCCACTGAGAACTTGCTTGTGATGGATCCCCATGGTCCTTGGCTTGACCGCTCCCTCAGATCTCTGCTCCAGCCTCAGAGTGGAGCAGGGGAAGGAGTTCTGCCCTCCAGTCCTCCAGTGCTGCCTCCCTCGCTGCTCTGCCCACCCCTTTCTGCCTCCCAAGACACCAGTGACCTTGTTTGTAAGGCACTTTCCACATTTCCATTTCCCATACTGTTTAATTTGGTCTTCCCAAACCCTTATCTTGTTCACGATGGCATCCCAAGTGCCTGGCGCGTAGTATCTGCTCAATGACCATTTGCTGATAAGATGAAAAGTTGAAACTGCATCGAATGGCAGAGTCCTACCTAGAAATCTGCTCTCCCGCCTCCTGACCTAGTGCTCGATCCATCTCACCTGACTGCAGCCCAAGTTCAGAGAACTCTTAGCTATTGCCCTACACCCACCAGGAGGATGGTCCTGCCACCCCAGAACTAGGTGGTGGCCCCTAAAGCTACCCATTCCCATCAAATTCTGCAGATCCAGGGGAGGCAGGATGGCTCATGAGGCTATAAGTGGCCCCAGACAATATCCCTCCCCCTCCTTTCTTTAGGCAAGGCTGGCCCAGGGACAGGCTGCTGAGCTCCTGGCCTACCTTCACGGGCAGAGAGAGCAGGGAGAGTCCCAGGGACAGAGACAACCTGAACCACATCAGCTGAGAGGTGACAAAAAGACTTCTGAACAATTGCTTCAGACCCAGAAAGGACAGGTCATCATGAGGAAATAATGTATTTTACCTGGGCAGAAAACAGATGCCAAATCTCATCCCTCCCATTAGTCCTGGTGTCCCGGGGAACTCTTTCCAGGGATTTTGGCCCCGCTTAGCAGCCCAGCCAATTTGGGCTTCTGTCTGCCTGGCAGGACAGTCTCCCCGCTGCTCATTCTGCTGTCACCAGCTGTAAGGAAGGGAGCCCGGGCGCAAAATCAGAGCTGTCTGCTTTCCCCCACTATCCACACTTCCACCCGCACGCCACACCACAGCCCCCACCAAAGCATCATGAGAAAAAGCTGGGCCTGACTTCCTGGAGGTTTTCTGGGAGTGGCTAAGGGAATAAGCGAGCAGGAGGCTTGCAGGCCCAGGGGCCTGGGGAGGTTTCCCAAGGTAAGGCCCAGGTCAGCCCTCCCCTCAAGCCTACACACACAGGAGATGCCAGGGGCCCTCAGCTCCCAAGTCCACAGCACTGAAGACAAGGATGCACTGGGTGGACTGGGAGGTGGAGCCAGCAGCTGATTCTTCAGCCCGGAGGCCCACCATTAGGGCAGGATGTCTAGGGCCTTAGGCTACTGCAACTCACCCACCTCTCAGGCCCGAACCCGTACGTCCCGGGGCCTGTTGGGTTCACTTGTCCACTGGGCACATCAGGGTGGCCTCAGCAGTCTTTAGGAAGACTCCTCAAGCCTCACATCTTCCCCACTGCTGGGAGAGACATCGGCCTCCTGTGGCCCTTTACCTCAATGGCAGGGCAGACAGGGCTGATGAGGTTCCCTTAGGAAGCCATCTGGCCAGCTTTGGTCTTGCTACAAAGGCCCTAGCACCCCTTCACCCCACCCCCCCACACAGGGGATGAGGCTCCATCCATGCAGAGGAGGCACTGTTGCCTTAGCTCCCCCATCGCCCAGCTCCTCCTCCAGCCCTGGAGCATCCAGCTGCAGGCGAGAAGGCTGAGAAGTCAGCACTGAGAGGGCATTCCAGCCACATTCGAATCAGGGAGGCAGGCTGCTGCCCTCAATTTAAGAGGATTCCTCAGCCCACCCCTCAGCCCCTGGCACTGGGTCCCACCACTACAGCGTTGCTGGCTCCCTTCATTAGTAGGGGATGTGCAGGCACCTCCAGCTCCTGGCCAGGCCAGGAGTGCAGAGTTGGAGGAAATAAGTAAGGGAGGTCCGGGGAATGCAGCTGGTGGATGTGAAATGCCCCAGCCCCTATAAACCCTCCTTATCTCCCTCAAGGTTACGAGTCCCTTTCTATCCATCACAGCAGTATTGGCCATGCTCAGGGGGCTTGACTCGGGCGCCCCCATGTGGCAGAGGCCAGAGTGGCTGTTCCTTGATGGAGGCTAATATCCACTCAGGACACATCTTCTGGCCCCTAAGGCACTGCAGTAGCTCCCAAGTGGCCTCCTTGTCCCTTCTAAGTGCACTTGCGCACCACTGCCTTATTTCACAGACCTAACCACAAACTGCCAGCAGCTCCTACTGCCTTGACCTTCTAGGCTCTCCTAGGCCTGCCCGGCCCACTTCTAAGGCTTTGTTGCCACTAAAAATAATATCAGTAATATTTTTTACTTGAGTCCTTACTATGTGTTAAGCGCTGTTGTAAGTATTCTGTATATATGTTAACTCTGTATATGTGTTTAATTCTCGTAACAACCCCGGTCAGGTAGAAAATATCATTACGCCCTTATAGAAATGAGGAAACTGAGGTACAAGGAAATTGAGGGACTTGTTTAAGATCACACAGCTAGTAAGTGACAGAGCCAGAATTCTAACCTAGGCTGGCTGATTCCAGAGCCCTTGCCTTTAACCACTACTGCCCTCCCACCTCTCCTGAGTTCCAGCCCATATGGATTGCTCATTGCTCCTCAGGGGTCTGTCTCCCCCTCGTGGTGGGGGTGACTATTGTCCAGCTATTCCCTTTGTTCGTTTAAAACGAACCACCACCTACTTGACACCACAGTTAATGCCAGAGCCCAGGAGTATAATGCTCTAACATTCGCTGTTTCCTTGGGCTTAAACTCTGCACCTCAGTTTCATTATCTGTAAAATGGGGATAATAATAGTATCCACCTCATAGGGTGACTGTGAAGATTGAAGTGAGATAAGCCGTGGAAAGGACTGAGCACAGTGCCTTGCACACAGTAAGCAGTCTCATTGCTTTTATGAATTAGTTGTTATTATCATTATCACTATCACTGCCATTATCATCATCAACATCAGATCCCTCCAGTTCTCAGAGAGACACCAAGCGTGGGGAGGGAAAGAATCAGGGTGCCGAGTCAGTGCCTGAGTCTGGGCCCCAACTACCTACAGCCTGGCACCTATTCTGGAGTCTCCGAGTCTCCGAGAAAGAGCATCTTCCCAGGGCATGCCCTTCTCTATGGGCAATGCTTAAGGGAGGGGACTGGAATACCTGTGGCCTTCCAACAACTGCTGGCTTTGTGCCTGGGCCAGATGGGCCTTGGAGCCAAGAAGGTCTCCGAAGCTGTACGTTTTAAGATTAAAAGGTGCCCCACATACAGCAGGAAACTAATGTACAGAACTCATTTTCTTAGCAGGTGGTTTTTTATCCAGTCAATCAACACCCACTTACTGAGCACTAGCTATATGTCACACACACCCCAAAACCTAAAACTTGAAAGGTAGGTATGGCTAGTATTTTCAAGGATGTTTTCAGGAATGTTTGGGGAAAGACTCCCAGCTTGCCTCCAAGATTGCTGTGCAATACTGAGATACTTCCATCTGTGGAAGCATGTGGAAGACATTCCCATTTTTGTCATTCAACAAACATTTACTCAGTGTCCACTATAAGCTGGGCCCAAAACCGGACCCTGGGGAAGCCTCATCCTCAAGGGACCACAAAAAACAATCAAACCAAACCCGTTGTCGTCGAGTCGATTCAGACTCATAGCAACCCTATAGGACAGAGTAGAACTGCCCCACAGGGTTTCCAAGGAGCAGCTGGTAGATTCGAACTGCCAACCTTTTGGTTAGCCACTAAGCTCTTAACCACTACACCATCAGGGCTCCAAGGGCCCACAATGACCCACCAGTTCCCACCCAGGCTCTTGGTTCTGCTCTCAAAGGAGAACAGCAGGTGGCACAGCCCATTGCTCTGACCCAGGGGCAGTTCCAATGTCCTTGAATTAATGGGCCATTACCTTTGGGGATATCATGCTCCAAGGAGTCCATGAAGTCCAGGGAAGGGTCTAAGTCAGCCTTCTCAAGCAAGGTCTTGTTCTTCAGTTCAACAGCCTCCTTGAAGTGGAAGTAGGAACTGAGCTTCTTGGCCTCGGACAAGGACAGTCCTAGAAGGAAGCAACAGGCAGGAAGGGGATGTCAGTTCCCAAACCCACAGCTCCCTTTCTCTCTGCACTGTGACCACATGGAGGGGCTTTCAAAGGATTCAGTTAACCACTAACATAGAACTGAAGGGATAAGAGGGAGTAGGTTTCCTTCAGCTCAAACTTGGTTCAGATCCTGCAATGAAGACAAACCAAAGGGGAGGGAGGTGGGAAAAGGCAGATAGCCCAGACCCATGCAAAACCCTGGTTAGGAGCCATATGCTCTCCCATCTCTCAGGCAGAAGAGAGTCAGAGTCCAGTGACTGGGTAACCCATGTCAACCACGCATGCCAGGCCACTGGGCACATCATCAGCTGGTGATGTGGCCACAGCTATTCCTTCTCTGAGGAAGTGGGCAGGTTACCCCTGGGCTCCTGGACATGCGTCTGACTGTGCTTGGGAAGAGATGCCCTATAGCCCTTGAGAAAGGCCCCGGAGAACTCACCTTCAAAGGTCCGATTGACATGGGTGGTTCCAAAAGGGGTCTTGAAGAGGGCACCTCGGGGAATAATGGCCACAGCTTTGTCAATCTGGTCAATGATGGACACCAAGCGGGTCTCTTCTTTGATCTGAATCTGAGGAGACAGGAAAGGAACCATCCTGCTGCTGCACTGTGCCCACTCACCCCAGGTCCAAGGACCCTCTGCGTGACCATGTCACCTGGGTCATCATGAATAGATGACAGGTGCACGGAAAATCACCACGGGTGAACCCTCGCCTTCTCTCCTAACAGGATTTGATTTCTTTCTTATTTTTATTTTTGAATGGAAAATACAGGTGGTGAAAATTCAAGACTTCCAAAAAAAGTAGTCTTTCAGACCCCCAGCTCTCCTCCCTGGGGTCAACCACCATTAATGGTTTCCTGTGTATCCTAGAGAAATACCATCCTATCACCCTGTTTAAATGTTGCTTATTGTGCCTTTTTACAATAAAAAAGCAATCATGCTCACTACAGAATATTTGTAAAATATAGAAAAGCATGCCTAAGATCATTAAAACTGCTCATAATCCAATCCCATCTCCTAAAGATAATCACTGACAGATAGTATGTTGGTAAGCATCCTTCTAGTCTCTTTACTTCTATGCATATATTAAAGCAAAATTAGAGTCACAGTTTATATAATTTCATATCCTGCATCTTCCCATATTATAAAATTTTTATGCAGATGAAATTTGGTTACACTTAATATCAAGAGACCGTGAACAAAAGGACTTCACAGAGATGTTTGGGGGAAAGCAGCGTTTGACAAGGAAAACATGTCAATGAAAGCCCCCCAAGAGTCACTGAGCCACCTGCTTCCCATGAGCTGCTGAGCTGAACTGTTTACAGAGGAGGAAATAGAAACTAATATTTACTAAGTGCCTAGGCCAGGGGCTTTACCTATGTCACCTCATTTAATCCAAACAAACCTGCAAAGCAAATATAATTATCTCAGAGAATAAAACCTAGGCTCAGGAAGGGTAAGCTTGTCAGGTGTGAGAGGCCGGGGCTTGCAACTGGGGCGTCACAGACCTAGATCCAGGCTTTTGGGATTACCCAGGTTCAAGTGGAGAGGCTGGGTTTGAATTCCAGGTTTGTCTAGTTTCAGACCTTGGGCTCCTTACCTTTTGACCTAGCAATTCCGTTTCTAGGAATTGATCTTTCAGATAGAGTGTACACATGGGAAATGACACGTGTACAAGGTCATTCACTGTGGCATTGTTTGTCAGAGCGAAAATCAGAAAGCCACATTTCCATTAATAAGACACTGGTTAAATAAATTATGGTACACATGGTAAAAAGAATGAGGAGGCTCTTTATTGCACAGAATAGAAAGACCTGTTAATATAATATACTGTTAATTGAATATATTTTTATTTGTTAATTGAAAAGGATAAGGTGCAGAAACGTGTGTATAACATGCTACCATTTGTTGTTGTTATTTCTAAAGGTAAAAAGAGAACATGTACAGTACGATATTTGCTGAAGTTTGTATTTTCATAAAATGTCTCTGGAAGCCAGCTTCTCACACTTCAGCATGCACTCAAATCCCCTGGGGATCTTGTTAAAATGCAGGTTCTGAGGCTGGGAACCCAGATTCTGCATTTTTAACTTCCAGGGCATGGTGCTGTTTCTGATCCAGACCATACTGAGTAGAAAGATTCAGAAAGATACACACACACACACACACACACACACACACACAGAAATACAAAACTGTAACACTAATGTCCCCAGAAAGAGGGCCTGGATAACTGGTGGGCAGGGATGGGAAACTGAGGCTCAAGGAGTTAAGTCTGTCAGATGGGAGGGGGCAGGCATTGCAGCTGAGGCATCACAGACCTAGAAAAAAAGGCATCAACTTTTTTTCTACATTTGACTTTTGAACCATGTGAATGTATTACCTAGTAAAACATTTTTTGATACAAAAACGTCAGAGCCTGTGCTCACTCCCTTACCCCAGAGTGCACACAGATCCCTCCTACAGCCCACATCCCAGAATAAGACTTCCACGGGGCTGCCTATACACTCTCTCCATCCTGTCGCTCAGGAGCTGCATGACCCTGGGCAAGTCACTTAACCTCTCTAAACTTCAGTTTCCTCCTCTGGAAAGTCATGTACCAACTTCCTAGAGCTGTAAAGATTAAGAGGTGACACATGCGTGACAGCATGGTGTCTAGACACCCAATACCTGGCCCAGCAGGAGTGGACGTATTAATAATAGCAGTTGTTGCCATGACTTCTGTTGGGCTGGGTTTCTACTGGCCAGGCCCTCTTAGTCCAGGCCCTCCTCATCCTTGTCCTCTCCTCTTCACTCACCACCACTTCTTCTTCAAAGACCTTGTCACCATCGTTCACCTTCTGCAGCTCCGTGTGTTCATACTCATGTGAGGGGTCCCCCAGAAAGCGGCCGCTCACCACAGATGTCTGCAGCAGCATCTCCTCCGTGGCAGGGGGCAAGAGGCTCCACTCCATGCAGTTCAGGCTGCCAACAACATCCATATCACCCCTAGAACACAGCCTCCCTCTCACCCAGTCTTCTGCCTCCCCTTCTCCTTAGGGAGTTAGGCCCAAGAAAAGCTGTTGGGATTCATACCTTTCTCCCAATGCTCTTTTGAGACCCTTAGAAGCCCTAAGTGCTTATGGTGCACCCCACCACCATATGTGATGCAAATTCAATTTTATTTTTTGAAAGGTCGCAAAAGTTTCACATATGCTGAAGTTAAAAGAGCTTCTTCCTAGATATCTGGGCTGTGAAATTCTGGAGAAGTTTCTGGAAGCTGAACTTTCCACATTTGGGCGTGTTCTTGTTTGGTGGAGCTCTAAACTCATGCTCAGTTTGCCTACTGATCCAACAGCACAGCCATCTCCCCCCACTTCTCAGGGAAGCCCAGCCCATGCTCAAGGATCTCTCCTCCTCCTCTCCTCACCAGCCACCAGTCCCTGCCCAGCCCCTTCTTTCTCACTTCCAGCCAGGAGAAGAATCACGGCCCTCCCACTCCTCTGTAACCGTCAGTGTCAGTGGTTACATCCCCAGCCTGGTATCTGCTTATCTTCCTTGTTCTTCACTCTCCACTGGCTCCTTCTCAACATAAAACTGCTCAGCCTTCTAAAACAACAACAGCAATCCTCAAATCCACGTCCCTTCTAGAAAATGCCCTTTTTCTCTTCCCCAGCTCTGAACAATAATCTCAGGACAACAATCTTCCCCTCAGTTTCACTCTTCAGCCCGCTACACTGTTACTTCTGCCCCTACCACTCCAAGAAACTGCTCAGGAGATCATCCACGGGCCCTAAAAGCCAATAAATGCTTTTCCATTTCTGTTTCTTTCGACATCTCCCTTCTCCCTCTTCCAGTACTTTAAATACTTCCAGGGTACTATTCTCACGCCTCTTTTTCTCTCTGCAGTCTCACCCACCTGACTCCCTGGGCCCCAGCTACTTCCAGACTCCAACCACCTCTCACCACCTCCACTGCTTCCACCCTGGTTCAAGCCACCATCTGTTCTTGCCTGGATATTACAGTAGTCTCCTAACTTGTCTTCCTGCTTCCACACCTGCTCTCCCTTCAGTCTATCCCCACCCAACAACCAGACCGACCCTGTTAAATCCCAACTCAGATCATGTTACTCCTCTATTCAGAAACTTCCAATGGTTGCCCTTTGAGCCAAGTCCTTACAATGTCCCACACGGCCTTGCATGATTGTCTCCCCACCTCTTACCTCTCTGATCTCATATCCTACAATGCTCCCCCTCCTCTCCAGCCACATTAACATCTATGGGGTTCCATAAACTCACTGAGGACATGCCTGCCTCAGGGCCTTTGCACTTGCCACGTACTTCACTCCCTCAGTCCCTTCAGATCTCTTCTCAAATGTCTCCTTATCAGAGAGCCCAACGCTGACCACTCTTTTTAGAATAGCACCCCATCCTGCATCTCTATCCCCCCTTTACTGCTCTATTTTTTGTCTTAGCACTTAGCATCATATGACATGTGTTATGGATTGAATTGTGTTCTCCCGAAACAATTGTTAAATTCCTAACCCCTGTACCTGTAAATATGACCCTTTGGAAATAGGGGTTTCCTTTTCTTACATCAATGTGGTCATACCAGAGTAGGGTGGGTCCTAAACCTATCTATTCTGGATGGACACACAGTGAGGAGACAGACACCATAGGAAGCTACATCTACAAGCAACCAAGGAACACCAGAGAGAGAGAGAGCCTAACCTTGCCTATGCCCTGAATTTGAACTTCTAGCCTCCAGAACTGTGAGGAAATAAATTTCTGTTCTTTAAAGCCACCCACTTGTGGTATTTTTTTTACAGCAGCACCAGGTAATTAAAACAACATATATGTATTTACTGTCTGTCTCTCCCCTCCACACACATACACTACAATCTAAGCTCCATGAAGACAAGGATTTTGTCTCCTTTACCACTGAATTCCTGGTGCCTAGATCAATACCTGGCACACAGTAGATGCTCAATAAATAAATGCTTATAGAATAAAATGCACTGAGTCCCAATCTCTATTTTGAGCCCAAATTTCTCTTCTGAAATCCAGATCTGTATTTTAACATGCCTCCTTAACACCCTGCCCCCCAGGCACCTCACACCAAACTCACTATTTCTTCCCTAGAGTGGCTCCCTGAATTCTCTTCCAGTGCGTGGCACCAGCAGTCACCTTGACCTCTTCTTCACTACCACCACCCCACATCCAATCAGTCACAAATCCTACCAAATCTACCACTTTAAAATCTTTCCAACTCATCCCCTCCCCCACCCCTCCATTCCCTCAGCTACCCCTTTCTTCCAGGCCCCCTCATCTGGACATTGCAACAAGCTCCTAAGTGCTCATCCCCCTTCCAGGCCATCCTGCCCACTCAGGTCTGAGCAGGCTTTTCTTGCTTAAAACCCATCATGGCTCCCTATGGCCTACAGGACAACGTTCGAACCCCCCTTGGCCTCTCCATCCAGTCTCATGTGACACCCTATGCCGTCACTGTCACGTTTACCTACCTGCTGTTCCCCCAAACACTCCAAGCCCTGTCCAGCCAACAAGTGCTGGCAAAACTATTTCCTCTATCTGGCATACCTTTTCCCACACCTTGCTGGAGAACTCTTGCTCATCTTTCAAATCTCAAAGCAAGTTATTCCCTTAGCAATCTTATTTAATTGCCCTCAAGGAGAATGCCTCCCTCTGGTCCTCCTTTGTGTACTAGCTCTGTTCTAGTTTTCATACACCATGACGTAATTTCTGGGTAACACGTCTGCCTCCCCAGGATGTGGACAACTAGGAGACAGGGGTGCATCTTAGCCACCTTTGTAAGCCCAGGTCTAGCACAGGAGGCACCCAATCAATGTTGGATGGATGCATGGACAGATAAATGAAGTCTCCAACTCCTGCCTTCTGAAAGGATTGCTGTGTAAGGTGGTTAGCTCCCCACCATCGCTGGGGATAGTCAAAAAAAGGCTGGATGGTCCTGAATGGCAGTGTCCAGGGAATTTTCGCCAGTTCTAAACCCCTTCCAAGAGCGCCTCCTGCCTGCAGAGCCGACATCTCCACCGATGATGCTTCTAGATCCGTTTCCAAATAGCATCCCCTCACCCCCAGGGCTTCCGATGGTTCTCCAAACTGAGTCCTTCGGAATGCCAGGTCCGACACCTGGCTTCTACTCCAAGCCTCCATTCTCCAAGAACCTTCACCTTGCTCTGCAGGCGCTCTTGGCCCCGCCTCTATTAGAAACCCGTCTGCATCTAAGCTTCACTTGGCTGCTGCAAGAGGAGAACCTGTCGTCCCAGACCCCGCCCCACTCTCCTCGCCCCCTCAGACCTCGCCCATCCATTTCCCCGCCCAGTTCCGTTCTATTCTCAGGTTCCAAAACTCCCAGTTCCAGCCCTTCAACCCTCAACCAATTTTCCAAGACCCTTTCCGTCCCCAGGCTCTGCCCCTCAAGCCCCTCCCTATTCCATCCCCCTCAGATCCTGTGGACCCGCTTCCTTGACCTCGTAGGCCCAACCCCTCGGCCCCGCCCCTTTTCAATTCCTTCAGACCCCGCAAAAGCGCCTCGTTTCGTATCCTCGCGAGGCCTCGCCCGCCCGGGTATCGCCTCCACCTGTAGAGGGTCTTGCGAGGTGCGAGCTGGTCCTCACTCAAGCCCTGCGCGATGTAGTAATCGGCAACGAGGCCGAGGACGCGGCCCCAGAAGAGGACCCGGTCATAGCGGTAGTCGCGCTTAACCAGCATGAGGGAAGTGAGCAGGGAGGCCCGGCGGTCGGGGCTGAGGCCCTGCCCACTGCCGGACGCCAACTCCAGCGATAGCAGGAGGCTCTCGGAGTCCATCAGGCCTGCGGTTCTGCTCAACGCCCGCCAGGTTGCTAGGAGAAGCGGTCTCTATGGAGACCCAGAGCCCCGCCTGTCCGTCTTCCAGGAAGCTAGGATCCCACCCACGTGACCGCCTACGGCCCAGCCTGGTCGGAACGCCCTTCTCCCTACGGAGCCGTAGGGCTCGTAAACCTGGTCCTACGCTGCCCCCTCCCCCCCCCCTTTTCTTTTCCAGAGTTTGGGACGGAATGTCTCCATTTGTGGCGGCGACGACGTGGTTTTCTCTAATACAGATAGATGACCGTGTAGAATTGGAGGTCTAAACGTAGCCCAATTCCATGGATACTTTGGCCCTCCCTGGGTCCTTCCACATAATCGACATTCACTGAGTCTTCACTGTACGTGTACTGGGGGCTTGCAAATAAAACCAATAAAAGCCCTCTTATTATTTCACCCCAGTCGTGTCACTTTATGCTTCAGAATTATCTGGGAAGGAAAGAATTTGGACTAGATTTGCGATCCCTTGTGGCTCTCAAAGTCTAAGACAATCCTCCCCCACCCCTACCCCCGCCCAAAAAGCCGGATCCTACAGATTGGGGTCGATCCATTGGATTCCCTTCAGCCTTCACCAGATGTCTCTTTACCTACCCCTTCTATAGGACGATTGCGATTAAGTGGCAAATGGAGACCTAGGCAATGGGGCAAGGCATACGGGGCCACACTTTGGAAAAGGAGGGTGTGGAGGGGGGGTACAAAAGGGGTGACATTTATAAAGTTTCCCATCAACTACCACCTACATTTACCTCCCTCGGCCCCACAACTGTTCCTTTTAGGCACCATCGTAGCAACAGATGCAAGCCCAGAACACCACTGCAGCTAAGGCTCTTCTCTCCCTGGGCCAGAGACTACTCTTCACATCCACCTCAGAAGTCCCCAGCCAAGTGCAGAGAAACAGGTTCCTCAGCAAGCTGATTTGTCAGGGAAGGAGATGGGCTTTATTGTTAATATTACTCATTGACCTTTCATTTCTGGATTCCTTGGAGAAGACTCATGAAATCAGAATGACCTGGGTCCCAATGCCAAGCCGATGGAGAAATGTCTAAATTACCTAGATAATTACTGTTTTGACTGTCTAGGCATTGTTTATGAAGGCTTTTAAAATTAGTATTTGAGAGAGCTGACTTAGCTTAATATGTCTTCTCTCAAAACAATTTATAACCCTCTGGTTTCAAAACTCTCCCACTCCCTTTAGTCATATCCCTCTGCCTGTCCCTTCCCTGAGTAGGAGATACGGCCCTGGTCCTATTCTGTGAGGTAACAGCACCAGACAGGAAAACAGCCGAAATTCTGTCTAGTGGAATACGCTTCCAGTGGTCATAGCACAGAAAAGAATCCAACCTTTTTGTTTTCATCATTAAATATTTACTCAGTACCTAACAATGGCAGGTTCCATGTCCGGAACCAGAATCAGAAGCCAGAGAGCAAAGCTCTGCAGTTTCCCAGAGCTACCACCTTGGCAGGGCACATCATGTTTAATGATTTCAGAGTGAAACCACACAAGATGTGCAGCACAGTGTAAAGCACTCAGCCTATGGAGCCAGATGGACTGGGTTTGAATCCAGGTGTCACCACTCAGGCAAGTTACTCAACCTCCCCAAGCCTCATCTATGAAATGGGGATAATAATACATATATTTGTAAGATAATACATGCAAAGTGCTTAAAACATAGCATAAAATATATATATTCAGCACTTTACATACATTATCTTACCAAATCCTAATTAACAAAAATCCTCACAACTGGACCAATAAGCAACATCATGATAAACAAAAAACTGAAATTGTCAAGAATTTCATTACTTGGATCCACAATCAACGCCCATGGAAGCAGCAGTCAAGAAATCAAATGACGTATTCCATTGGGTAAATCTGCCGCAAAAGACCTCTTTAAAGTGTTAAAAAAGCAAAGATGTCACTTTAAGGACTAAGGTGCACCTGACCCAAGCCATGGTATTTTCAACTGCCTCATATGCATGTGAAAGCTGGACAATGAATAAGGAAGACTGAAGAAGAACTGATGCCTTTGAATTATGGTGCTGGCGAAGAATACTGAATATACCATAGGCTGCCAGAAAAATGAACAAATCTGTCTTGCAACTACAGCCAGAATGCTCTGTAGAAGCAAGGATGATGAGACTTTATCTCACATACTTTGGACATGTCATCAGGAGGGACCAGTCCCTGGAGAAGGACATCATGCTTGGTGAAGTAGAGGGTCAGCAAAAAAGAGACCCTCAACGAGACGGACTGACACAGTGGCTCCAACAATGGGCTCAAACATAGCAAGGATTGTAAGGATGGTGCAGGACCAGGCAGTGTTTCATTCTGTTGTACACAGGTTCGCTGAGTCAGAACTGTCTCGATGGCACCTAACGCCGACAATAATCTTGCATTATATGTATTATTGTTCCTGTTTATATCTATGTACACGTATCTCCAACATCAGCAGGGTGAGGATTCTGTTTTTAGCTTGCATCCAGGAAATGTGCAGGTGTTCTCCTTCCTTAGGGACAAACAGCTTCCACATTTGGTGGTCAGGACAGCATCAAGCCAGAGAGGATAAAAACAAGGATCAGGATAGCTGAGGAGGAACTGCCACAGGCAGGAGGGCAAGGTTTGCTTAAGGACAATATTGCCAGCGGTAACTGCCAACAGCCACCAGACAACTGCAGTGGAGACAGGCTGGGCAGAACTCCAGAAGGGACATTTAGCCTCAGGGAGCTGACCCCAGAGGGCATTCCTGGTGGGCCTCAGCCCACAGTTCAGTCAGGCCTTGCAAATGCCCTCCTGTTTTACTATTCTCAGTTCTCTCTCATCCCAGTTTCTCAGAGCCCCATTCCCCTGCATTTGTTTCTCAGATCTGAGGGGCAGAATGGGCCAGGTTCACCAGGATCATTTAGACCCCAGAAGAGTTGGAAGAGGCTGCAGGGCCCACTCTTAGGCCTCAGATTGCCATGCTTGGCACACGGCATGTGTTTATAATCAATGGTTGCCTTAACAAAGTAGGACATGATGCAGCTTCTCCTGTGCTGACAGACCGCCAGCAGCACCCATGGCACTCAAGGCTACAGCTGACCATTTATTGATGGACAAATGCTCTCAGAGGGTGAAAAGGCTTGCAGGGAGCTCCTCACCTCTTACCATTCTTTCAGCACGTTAACTCAGGGTTTACTACAAACAAGCACAGGGCCAGACCGCTCCCCTACATCACAGCGGTCTCACTGAGTGGCCTGTTAAGTTCCTTACCAGAATTTTGCCCACATCAAAGGTGATCTCCGCTTTGGGCAGACAGAATCTAAGGGTCACCAAAACCAGTATGTGGCAAGGAAAGAAAGTTGGACTAGAAGTCAGCTGATGAGGACTCTAATCTCAGCTCTGCTATCACTCTAGTTATAGGGCCTTAGCCAAGTCCCTTTACTCTCCAGATTGGCCTGGGGCTGATGAAGAGAAAGAACCATTAGCAATAAAATCCTGGAAGCCCTGAAGCAACAGAGGCCAAATATCTAGCCACAAGCTGGAAAGTCTCTTTGAGGCAAGAGATTTTCAGGAAAATTCAGTATGAATTCTTTCATTTTATATTTAAGTTCATGAGTCACACCCACATCATGTCCCTAGTAAAAATTCTGAAAGGCCACACAAAAAGCAGAAACTAGCCTCCTTCACAGGAGTGTCCATGGGCCCATATTTACTTTCCAACCCCAAACAGAAGCACCTAACCCAGCACCCTCTGGTAAAATCAACCCTATGATTCAAAAAGATGTTGTTCACTGATGATTATTACAGCCACAGCCACACCATGAGCCCACTAGGAAGTCTGAGGAGGGGAGGCAGGCAGCGAGAAGGTTCGAATCTTCCTCCTTCACCAGGAAGCAGCTGTAGCTCCAAGCAAGAGTTGGATGACTTGGTACCACAGGGGGAAAGAAAATTCAGCCATTGTGTTATCAGGATTAACAAGCACCCTCATTCATTAGTGGAAGCCTTTAAGCGTCACTGGTGCCTGGAACCAAATGTAATCCTCCCAGGCCGTGGTAGGGATGGGCGGCCTACCACAAGACAAGGTCACAGTCAGTTTGTGGCCCCGGCTGGGCACTCGGTAGTTGAGCTTGGGTCGAAACCAATCTTCTCCACAGTCACGATGTCCCTGTGCCATGATGATGGTGCCCATGAGTGGAGGAGCCTGAAGCTCACTGAAGGCATCAGCCATGAAAATGGCTCGGAAGAGACGGCGCAAACAAGCTGCTGTGTTCAGGCTCTGCTCCCTGCTGTCAGGGACCAGTCGGGACAAGTCAAGCTCATAGAACTCCTTGGGGCTTAGAGCACTGCCCCCAAGGAGGATCAGCACTCGTGGTACCAGTGTCCGGGCAAAGAGGCCCTCTAGGTGGCTGAAGACACTCTCCATTTCTGCCAGGGCTTGTTGGCATTTCTTGCTGCTCGTCTCAGTGGCAGTCCGAGGTTTATTCCTCACCACTTCCTCTGCCTGTGAGGACAAAGAACGGTGGGAAAGAGGATAAGATAAAAAAAAACTCATTGCCATTGAGTCAATTCCGACTAATAGTGACACTATAGGACAGAGTAGAACTGTCCCATAGGGTTTCCAAGGAGCAGCTGGTGGATTCGAACTGCCGACCTTTAGGCTAGCAGCTGAACGTTTAACCACTGTGCCACCAGGGCTCCAAGAGGACATGATAGGGGTAAGTTAATGCCCCAGCTAATGCCCTCTGAAGAACCCTTATGGGACTGAATTTCCAGCTCAATGAACTGCCATAACCAAAACAATGAACTGCCATAACCAAAACAATGAACTGCCATAACCAAAACACTGGGTTTTATCAGAGGGCATTATATCAAAAGGGAAAGCACATTCATTGCACAAAACCACAATTCTCCCACACTTAGAACAGCAAAGACAGTGCTCTGAAGCTGGAGGGCATCCAGAAAGAGACAACTAAAATAGTCAAGGAGATCTGGTGGCATGGCAGAAGGTGGCAAATCTTTGCTGCACAAGGAGTGATAACAGGAATGAAGATTACTAGGTCTAATAACAGTGATTCTGGAGTTGGTCTTCCAGTTAAACATGGCAAACTGAACACATGTTTATTTGGGCTCCAACCTGAAATACTACTAAGTGAGAGAAAAGAAATTAAGAAAGATAAGGAAAGAGAGAGAAAAAACTTCCAAGGGCAAAGAAAATTGCAGAATAGACAACAGTGGCCAAGAGGCAACAACCAATTTTTGGAAGGTAAAAGCAGATGGAAGAGTCAGCGTTCAAGAAAGCTGAATACCAAGTGCAGGCAAAGAGGACCCATTAGAAGCAAACCAGTTCACTCTGCAGAACCCCAGAAAGGCTCAGGAATTGGCAGTATTAGGCACCACAGAGGGCAACAATGAACACAGGGAACCGGGTGAAAATCTATGCAAAGACACTTAGACTGCCCGCCAGTTTCCTCCCCCATCCAGAGAGAAGGCCTTCCACTACTGATGTTTGTTGGGTCCCCCAAAGAGACCACTAGGTTCTCACCCAATCTCCTTAGAAGTCCATCAGCTCACAAGGCCCAACCATACACAAGAGCACTCAATCAGCTTTCAATGACTTATTCTCAATATTCACCAGACACAGAATAAAACTTCCAACATGAAAGTCAGAGACCAAAACAAACAAATGGGAAAAGAAATCTGGTAGAAATGGAGGCACATGAAGGAACAGAGGAAAACTTCAAAAACACTATAAGTACTATCCTCAGGTTAAGAGAAGTTAATACAGCAATGAAACAAGAACAGGATGCTATTAAAAAGAAACATACAAAGATAAAGAAAAAGCTCTTAAGAATATGACTGCCAAAAAAGAAAAAAGTTACTAAAGGTGTTAGAATATAAGTCAAGAAAGTCTCCCAGAAAGTAGAACAAAAGGCAAAGAGATGATAATTTGGAGAGAAAAGACACTAACATTAAAGAGTCACTTCAGGAAGTCCAAACGTAACCGTACTAGGAATTTAAACAAGAGAAAAAGTGGGGAGGGCTAGACTATCAAAGAGTACAGTGGGGAGAAATTAACTGAGGCCCTGGGGCTGAAACACCCTCCTTACAGCTGCTCAGCCTGACAAGTCCTGAAGATCTCTTAGACCCCTTTTTTACCTGTCTACCGTCTATGAGCCACAACATTTTCCCAACATCCCCCACCACCACCACCACCAAGCACGTACCTACCTGAGGAGAAGGTTTTCGGTAGAAGTGCTTAAGCTGTTCGTAGGGTAGAGGGAGTTGCTGGCGTTGGTACATTATATGCTTTAGAAGTTCACAAGTAAACCGGCAGCAGCCTTCCTGGCTCACAGGCCCGGGAAACACCACTGGCACCATGCAGTCTCTGGGGCAAAAGTGTTCCGAAGGGTTGAGAGGTCCTTGGGCGGAGGTAGTCTCAAGTAGTTCTATCTGGGGAACATGGGTCTCCTCCGCCTTCTCATACCACTCCAAATCTGGTACGTGAGCAGAGAGACAATTAAAAATGAAAAGCCTAAAGGCCAAAGTCAGTCTTCTTCATTCCTTTAGGGCCACTGTATCAGCCACCACGGCAAACGGGGCACCCGAACACACGTACACTCCCTCCGCGACCGCCAGTGTGGGCTGTGGCGGGGAGAGATTCCTGATCCGTCTCGCCTAAGGTATAGGGGGATGTTCGGAGGCAGTGACTGAAGCTCAGCCCAGAAAGCGCCTGGCCCTACAGATCTGGGCAAGTGGCTCAAAAGAAAGTGTAGTCAAGTGGGGTGTCCGTGAACGCGGAGAGGAAAGGGTTGGGAGGACGATCCGACAGGAACCTGGGCCGTGGAGGAGAGGGAGTCACTGGGGCAGAGCCAGAGGGAGGCGGAACTCCAAAAAGTGGGTGACAGGGGGACGGGCAGGAGAAAGGGGCAAGGGCTAAGTGACTGGAGGGAGCGGGAGTCGGTAAGAAACGGGTCTCCATGGCTCCTTAAGGTCCGGACCCCACGCCTTACCAGGGACTGCGTCCGCGGACAACACTTCCGGCTCCAGCGCCGCCATCGCGACCTCTTTCCTCTTCGCCGTGCAGTTTGAATGGGTGCCCCGCGCGGCATCATGGGAAGCCCGCGCCTCCACTTCCGGATTGGCAAAGCGGGAATGGGGCGGTGAGAGAGGCTGTAGCTGGGGGCGATCGAGTCCTGCTCTCTTATGTTGTGAGGCTGGCTCAGGACCGGGCAGTGTGTTTCCTTCCGTTGTACATAGGGTCGCTATGAGTCGGAACCCACTCGACCCACCTAACAACTCCCTTCCTAAACACCGGGCATGTCTAGCTTCCCCTCCCCGCAGGGAGCCGCTGATCGCTGCCCTCCAGAGGACACCCGCCCTCACACCATCTGTCCACTGCCTGCGTTCACTTTTCACTGTGCACCTACTTGGTGCCAGGCCCTAGGTGGTGGAGTTTTAGACGCGCACTAGACATTGGCCCTATTCTTAGGGGTTCACTTCCTTTAGATAGAATACAGTGTAATGAATTATACATCGGAGCCTCCACGGGCTGTGGAAGCAAAGAACAGAGGCGCCTAACCCAGATGAAGTGGGGATAGGGTGGTTGCAGAGGAAATGATACCAAAGAAGCTGTGACCCGTAGGATGGGTAAATTAGCAAGGTAAAGAGGAGGGCCTAGTGTTCCAGAAGACCTTGAAAGATAAGAGCAGCATCCTCTGTTCAAGAAATGAAAACATCATAGATTATTGAGAGTTAAAGCTGGAGTGGACAAACAGGAGCCAGATCATGGCAGGGCCTTAAAACCCTGTCAAAGAGTTGAACTTGATCCTGTGGGGGAGGGGGAGGTTTGAAGCTTTTAAGTAGGGAATGACATGATTACATTTTATAAATTTAACCTCTGCACTGGCTACATTGGATTACGAGGAGGATACGAGAGGAGGCAGTGATACCAGTTGGAGGTAGTGACTGCAATTACCCAAGTGCATGGTGAAAGAGGTCTGAACTAGGGAAGTCACAGTAGGGTAGAAAGAATTGGGTGAACTCTAGAGATATTTAGTAGGTCCACTGAACATGACTTGGTGGTTGATCTGAGAAGGAGAAGGAGGGATAGATAGAGACTACCAAGAAGATAAGCAGGTTTCCAGCTTCAGCAACTGTGTAGCCAATGGTGCTAGTCAATAAAACAGGAAACACTAGGGGAGACTAGGATGTTTGGGGGTGGGTAAGGTGAAAAGATGAGTTCATTTTTTGATAATGATGGTTGAGTTTGATGTCTCCATAGGACTGTGAATAAAGATATTCAGGAAAACCATTTGGAATAAGAGATATATATTTGAGAGTTATCCACATGGGCGTAGATCACCCAGGGAGAGTATGTAGAATGAGGATGTGTAGAGACAGGATCCTGAAGACATGAATACTTAGTGGATGAGCAGAGGGAGAGAGAAGAACCCATAGAGGAGACTGAGAAGTAGCCAGACAAGTATAAAAAATAGGCAAGTGTTGGGATCATAAAAGCCAAGAAAAGAGTATGTTTCAGGAATCAGAGACCAAAGGTCAAAACATATCATAAAAGTAGTGATTAAAATAGTGTGGTACTGACTCAGGAATAAACCAATCAAAACTGAAGAGAGTTCAGAAACAGACCTATGTATATGTGGATCTTAGCATATATGACGAAGGTTGCTTTTCAAAGCAAATACAAAGTTAATTCCTACCACATACCCTACATAAAGGTAAATTCCTGATGGGTTAAAGATCTAAATATAAAAAGAAACCCTCAAATCTACTAGAAAAAATATTGGAGAATAAATTGTAATCTATGAGTTGGCCTAGGCATGACCCTTAACCAAAAAAGTTTAAAGAGAAAGATTGCTAGGTCTGAGTTTAAAACTTATGTAAAGGCACTATATACAAAATTAACTGACTATATACTAGAAAGGAACTGTCATGGATTCAGTTGTGTCCCCCCAAAAGTATCTGTCAACTTAGCTGGGCCATGATTCCCAGTATTGTGTGATTGTCCACCATTTTGTCATCTGACATGATTTTTCTATGTGTTGTAAATCCTATCTCTATGATGTTAATGAGGTGGGACTAGTGGCAGTTACATTAATAAGACAAGATTCAATCTACAAGATTAGGTTGTGTCTTAAGCCAATCTCTTCTGAGATATAAAAGAGAGAAGTGAGCAGATACATGGGGACCTCATATTACCAAGAAAGAAGCACCGGGAGCATAGTGCATTCTTTGGACTGGGGTCCCTGCGCTGAGAAGCTCCTCAGCCAGGGGAAGATGGATGACAAGGCCTGTCCTCCAGAGCCAACAAAGAGAGAAAGCCTTCCTCTGGAGCTAGCACCATGGATTCGGACATGTAGCCCCCTAGCCTATGAAAGATTAAATTTCTCTTTGTTAAAGCCATCTACTTGTGGTATTTCTGTTATAGCAGCACTAGATAATTAAGACAGGAGCCCCGTTGGCATGGGGGTTAAAGCGCTCAGCCGCTAACCAAAAAGTTGGCAGTTCAAACCCACCAGCGGTTCACCGAAGAAAGATGTGGCAATCTGCTTCCATAAAGATTATAGCCTGGGAAACCCTATGGGGCAGTTCTTCTCTGTCCTATAGGGTTGCTATGAGTCAGAACCGACTCGACAGCAATGGGTTTGGTTTGTGGGCTTTTTAAAAATATACTACAAAAAATGGTTGCAAAAGGTTAATATCCATGATCTACATATCCATATATCCAGTATATATATATACATATACATATATATATATCTCCCACAGCCAACCACCTCATAGATATCTCATAAACAATCCCTTCGGGGAGCTAAACATATATACCATCTTCCATCTCCCAGGACCCTAATCTACTGGACAGACATCCCTGTTCAGCCTACTCCTCTGCCAGCCTTCATTCCTTCTGTGGTAGGTCAGACTATTTAAGAATAGGATATCAAAATGGGCTATCCCCTCCCATCTCTTAAAAGAAGGTCTCTACTTAGAAGGCAAGGAATTTGAGATAGATGGGGTTAAATTGTGTGTCTTGGGTTGGTTGAAAGATACATGTAGGTGAGAGGACAAGTGTTTTATCAGGCAAGTGCAGCAGGCTGTGGTTATCAGGAGGGCCCAGCTGGAGGTGGTGAAAATATCAGAGGAATGGTCTTAGCTCTCCCTTCAAATCCCCACCCTTCTTGAGATCTCTGAGTTCTCCTGTCTCAGTCTCTAAGCAACAGTTTCCCTGGTGGGGTTGTGCCCCTGGATAGGGTTGACTTCTGCAGCATAGCCCTTCCCTCAGCTGCGTAGAGTTGAGAAAAGACACATGATGTGCTTTTAACCATTCAAGACCCACATAAGTGGCTGAATTGGGCCAATTTTGCAGATTTGGGCCGATCTCACTCTTTGGAGGAGTTATGCCATGTGGATACTAACTACATGATCAGCAACCTGCCTCTCTCTTTGTGACCCTGGGCAGAGCCATGGAATCCACCAAGTCTGAACCCTTGATGGGATCACCAGAGGTAAGCCACTGTTGCTGCTTCCAGTTTTGCAAGGAAAGCTGAGGTCTGGAGGGAAGAGTCTTATTTTTTTGCTATGTTTGAGCACCTCACTGCGAAGAGAGGTGAGGAGTGAGTCGCGAGATAGCCATGGGGCTAGAAATTGAACCCTGGCGTCCTGACTCCCACCCAGCAAAGCTAACTGGTTCTCAACCCTGCCTTTCTGATGTCTTGTGCACTGGTTTATGTCGTTGAATGTGTTTACTCTTTGCTTACTGCTACTCGCCTAAAGAGTAGGAGAGGAAGAGATGGCTTTGCAAAAAAGTCAAAAGTCAACAATCTCCTGGGGCCTTTGGCCAAGTGTCTAATCCCAGCCACTTCCCCCGCCCTCACTTGGGTTGGTGTAACGGAGCCCCAGACCCGCCCCAAGTAGAAGCCGAGCCCCTCCTACAGCCCCGGCTGTTTTAAAATCGACGTCGGTTCTCCCGGATTGGTTCGGCTTCAAAACAAAGGGGAGGAGGGTATTGGCTGAGGGCATCCTTGTAGCCCTCAGGCATCAGTGCTGGTTTATGGGTTCGGGCATTGTGTTGGGGCCACCGCGGAGCCTTGGGCTGCTGAAACCAGCCCCCGGGCGGTGCCAGGCTCTGGTAACAAAGCAGTGACTACTGTGTAAAGGTGGCATAATCATCGCAACAATAACAGCCGTAATTAGGCTAACCACCATCCGCCCCCGCCCTGGCGTTCGCCCTGACTGACTCACCCAGACGGCATGCCTACCATCAGGGAAGAAACTGAGGCAGGGGCGGAGCCAGCAGGCTGGAAGGACCCAGTCGCCCTTAATTCAGCAGCTCTGTAGGTCCGAAACCTGTTGCTGGGATCCGCTTTAAGGGGCCAGACCCAAGCGCACCCAGCCCTTCGCCCCCCCGTGCCCGACTCCGCCTTAGGCTTTGGGACTCTAAACTTTCCCCAGGTCCTAAACTTCCGCCAGGTCCTGGGAAAAGAGTTGCTCGGACAGCGGGGACTGGGAGCGAGACTACAAGTCTCCCCAGCCTTTGCGCGCAAAGGCGCGCTCCTTGCCTACACTACGAAGCCACCAGCGATCCCTTGCCCCGCGATGCCTCCTGGGAGTTGTAGGGCGGCTATGTGCTTTTTTGGGCGAGGGCCCAGACCTAAGGACTCTATATCCCGTGGTGCCGCGCGACTGTTTCTGAGGCGACCCGGAGGCCAGGGGAGGGGTGTGGGGGCGTGGCCTGCGCAGAGCCCCACCCCGCTCACTGGCTGGCCCGACGCAGCGGTGGCAGTAGAGGCGGTGGTGGCAGTAGAGGCGGCGGTGG